TACTACCACATTTGACCTTGCATGACCTTCAATGATAGCTCGCTGAAGTCATCTCAACACCGGATATCACATTGCGATTAAAAAAACATAGCATTCCATTACAAAAAAGAGAGGTGACCTTGAAATCTCCCCTATGCCTTCACCCACGCAGAAAATGTTTCTGTCAGAATATGCCCCCCTCTATACCGTTTAAGTTTTGTATATAACATTTTTTCATATTATTACAAATAACGGAAATATTCAAAGTGGACATAGTTATTGCCCAACCCTGTATATCACTTATGAGCAGAGGTAGTCCACTGGGTAGTCTCCCTTTTTTGGTGAGCTTTCAATACTGTCATTCTACATCGAATACAAGCGGACAGGTTATCGTGCGTTCTTTTACGTAGGCCTTTATAGCTGAGATTTTATCTGAAATCTTAGCTATTATATTAGGTTCTTAACTATAGCTTTGCGTTTATGAATTTAAGAAAAAGCCACTCAGGATTGTTCGATGTCTATTTTCTTGTGCTATCATTTGGTTCTAACCTGTTCTAGTGTCCAGTTATAAAATTCAGTTTCTGCACAAATTTAACCCTCAGACACTACGTTGTACCTCACCATACGTAAACACCACTCTAGTGGGAATTTGAATTTTGAAGTTTTGGTGATTGAGAACTTGAAGAAAAGGAAAGCAAATTGAGCTCATATTTTTTAGGGTAAAATTTCCTCAGAAATGTAATTGTAATAATTGCAAAAGTGAAAAATAATTTTTTAACTATAAAAAGTTAAAACCGTTACGCTGGCCAGATAGAATATTACAGACGAAACAATGTTTTGCTAGTGCAAATTCGCACTACTGTGGTGTCTGAGAGTTAAAGAAAAATGTACCCACACTTCTTCACTGAAAAAGAGTACTTCTACAGCACGAACGATTTCTTATTCGCACATTTTAAAAGGTAAACGAAAAAAGATAGCTGAGTTAAATTAGGAAATGTTACTACATCCTCCCATATTCACCTGACGTCTACATAATAACGAATTTACTTGTAGAGCTACTGTTAAAAATGGTATATAAGAATTCATTGATTCGAAAAGTGCTGAGTTTTTATAAAGAAATTTAAAAGTGGTACATAGATGGAAAAAGTTATAGATAACGATAATGACTAAATAATTCATTAGAGAATCTACTATATGTGTATGTATATATAGTATATTCTTAATCGTCGTAAGAGGAAAAATTAAAATTGTAACAATAATAATTTCAGAGTCTATTATTATGGTTTATTACAAATTTTATACAAAATTAGTGACTTTAAATAACTGCTCTGAATATGATACCCTGCTCAAAATTAAAATTAAAAGTCAAAATTATCCTTTAAAATTAAATTCATTTATTTTTACATGTAGTAACACATACGTGGACACATGAGTTATTTGCAATATAATAAATGAAGGATAGCGTGAAACGAAGTCACCTTATCTATGTATGTATGTTGTTTATACGTATGTATATGTGTATTATACAGGGTGTCTCAAAATTGCTTCAAATTCTGGAAATGAAGGATTCCTAGGATAATTTGAAACAACTTTTTCTTTGCAAAAATGTTATCCGAGGCATTGTTAATGAGATATCAACGAAAAAAACCGCCAACACATATAAATTTTAATCTTTGGGGTCTGTTTGAGAGAATTGTCAAATATACGTTTGCTTATTGTCGATGTAGATGGACTGTGTTAGAGTTCGTTTAAATCGTTGAATACGCAGTAGTATCCTCTGCTTGATAGTTATACTTTTGTTATGTTGTTACTTAAATTACTCGTTGTTTTAATACCAACGAAGAAAGTCGAGACCTATCGCTAATTATAGAATATTTCCAGAAACAGAATGAGAAAGTAAATGTAAGAGAAACACAAAAAAACAAACAGGTTGCATTTAATCTTGATGACAAACGAAGATTGTGTCACTATGATGGCCCTCCAATTTTTCCTTCGGATTCAAAACATGCTCGTCCATGTCTATGGCTGTAAGGCAAAACGACGTAAGCCAAATGTTTTCATTTTCGAAATATTGTTTTAAACATCGATCTGTTACTGTTACAGGTCGATGTACGACTATCATTTTTATTTGGATTTGAATACATTTTCTTATTGAGCCAGAATCAATGCAAACAATAAATAAACGAGATGCTACTAATTTAACGTGACTATAGGTCGTAATTTAAGATAATTAAGCAGCACTGACCTTGTAAATTTCTGTTCAAGCAGAATATAGATAAACAGTTTTTATTACACTTTTATTGATACTATATTTAAGTGAAGTTGGTAGGAAGATAAAGGAAAAGTATTTTCAAATATCTACATGATAGAATAATGCACATTTATTCGGAACATGTTTCAAAATGTTTTTAAACCACGCTATATCTTGGCAAGGACTATACATTAGAAATAATATCAATTATCTTATATATCTTCGTGAACCAATTATTACCAGTTAGAACGCGTGACCGTACGATATATATAGAGTGTTTCGGAAAGTGTAGTACTACCGAGTGAGGCGTGATTCTTCATGAAAATATTGATCGAAAATTAAGAATAAAACTCTTCATTTGAGACCTTATGTTTGAAAAAATCGACTTTGAAAATTTGCTGAATACGCGTGCAATTGAATAGGACTTGACTAGCGTGCCTGGTCTTTGTATTCCGTTTCTACTACCACCAAACGACTACACGCGTTTTAAATTAATTTTCAGTCGATTTTTTCGAAAATGAATTTTCAAGTGTCATTCTTCGCACAGGCCGATCGCTTTTTGTACTCGCTATCAGGGATTTTGTTCAAAATTAAATATATTGTAGTCCGCGTGAAGTTAGGGGGGGTTTAAGTCATCATTTTTCTGTTCCCGAATTTGTTTAAAAAATATAGACAACCGAAGTTTACGTTGTTTGTCTATTTTTGTGAAATAGCAATACACTTAAGAATTTATATCTCGGAAACTATTTATCATATCGAGTTTGTTCTTCGATTCCTTTAATCTGGAGAGATTGTCCTATTATAATAATTGTTTTGTTGTCTAAAAGATTGATTTTTTAATAATAAAAATTATAAACATTCTTTTTTCGCAATTTTCTCCATGAGGGGCAAGGGGTGTTTAAATTTAAAAAACATATGGTCATATTCCTTGAATTCTGACCTACAAAATGAACTCTTCAGAAAGATGGAACGATTAAAATTAGCCTCACAAAGAGCTGTAAAAGTGACTGGTATACCCCCGTTTCAAGTAAGCGAGTCGCGACGGGCAGTGAAACAAGCTGCTAATTTTTATGTAAAATCGTAGAACTTTTGATAGAAATAAGATAGAAGGATAAATTTTTTTTGAAGTAAAAACCAAAAGATTGTACAATCAGGTAAAAATATGACGAATATATTAAATGCAAGTTACGACTTTGGAAATTTTTGTTAAACTTGACATTTCAAAAACAAATTGCGATTTTTCCGTTATAATAAATGGTTGAATTTTCTCCATGACTTGTTATACATCATTCTCTCTTGAGTGATTTTCAAAAGGTTATAGAAATTGAAACAAACGTGTATCGTCCATTATTAACAAAAAAAATTGTCTGTATATTCGTGCTTGAAATAAGTATGTAAAATAAACTTATAAACTTATATAATTAACACACCTAAAACAAGAAAACGGAATAGACAGTTTCTTGTGAATATCTCGAAAAGTAGGGTTGTCCGCGTCGATTGTATGTTAGGAAAAAGTTGTTCAGAATCATGGCCCTTCATCAACATATTCAGAATCCATTGAAACCATTCTATGTTGGTATATCAAATAAACTCCGAGTTACGATGAAATATTATTAAATATTTTCTATTTAGTTTTTCATGTAATATTACCACCTTTTCGTTTGTATAACCAGTTAGGTGACACTCTGTACATGGTGCTTGATAAGAATTTCAGGAATTTAATTAAATAAAACAAACTGCAATACAGTATTCTTCCCATAAAATCGTGCCCCTCGTTCTCAAAGTGACTACCATGCAATAGTGACGCCAGAATCGTGGTACAGTGGACTCTTACTATATCGCCATGGTCGGGGCTGTACAGGAGTAAAATGGTAATGAATTCAGAGCCCCTTTATGCTAAGTTTTATCGTCATAGCCTCGACCTCAGCGTTTACACAAAACTGGATCGTACTGGTGCGCCATGGCGTACGCAACGTGGTGAGAGAGCGAATTTGTGATCTCGAAAGTACATGTGAAGGGGAAGTGCCTCGCGTGGCAATATGTTTAGGGGCAATATATGTTAGAGTCCACTGTATTTTTAATTTAACTTTGTAACCTCTAAGTAAAATAAAAACTTTGAAAAATATTAATTTGTAAGGAATTTAAAAAGAGAAGATAAATTTTGTCCTCTTTGGTATTTAAATTTTATACTATATACATAATTATTATGTTATAAATAGAACAATTATTCTTGCAATTAGATGTTACCGTTATTTTAACTATTGCAGTACATAAATACAAAAACATTTGTAGAAAAATCCATTAGATTAAAATGTTACGTTATAAATATATCTTCAGTCTTCTTAAAATGTGTAGCTGGATAAGGAAGTTACAAACTCCTATTTAATGGCATGCAAAAATTCTGTAAAAAGTCTGATATGTAGTATTTACTGGGGCATGTGATAATGATTTTTTTTCCGATTTTTGAGTTGAGTATCTCAGTTGTGAAAACTCTCCGTTAAAATCGAAGACGGACAGTGGGATGCTGCCCTTGTGTTAACCATTGCGCAGTACCCCTCTTGCCTTTGTGCCGTCCCGCTAATAATCTTTCCAGTTAGCACAGTACTTAACGCCGCGGCATGATAGGGAGAACTATGTGACGATAGGGTGACTGTCAGAGCGCTATTTTATGGGTGGAATACTGTAGTATAATGCCGAAACAAAACCAGCTTTCTTTAATTCATAAGTTGAACGTTAGTTTAAAAAAAAGAAAACTACAATTATGATACAATCTTTCAGGTGGATTGTCCATTTATAGTGTGCATGACATACGCCTTTCAAACGCCGGACAAGCTTTGTTTCATTTTGGATCTGATGAATGGCGGCGATCTTCATTACCACCTTAGCCAGCATGGCGTGTTCAACGAGATGGAGATGAAATTCTATGCGACTGAAGTGATATTAGGGTTAGAACACATGCACCGTAGGCACATCGTTTACCGGGATTTGAAACCTGCAAATATTCTCCTAGACAAGCACGGCCACGTCAGAATATCGGATTTGGGTCTAGCCTGTGATTTCTCGAAGAAGAAACCGCACGCAAGTGTGTAAGTACAGTCAAGAAATTGTATACATACACTAAACGCCAAATAAGAGCATAACTGTTTCGCGCAACTCGAATGAGCAGGAGAGGTCTCTCGAACCCTTGGTTCCCCCACTTTCTCGCTTTCTGTAACAAGAACGATAGAATTTGTCATACACCGGGTGACATAATGAAGTATTTCTCAAGGCATGAATACTTATGAATTGGCACGTTTGTACTTCACAGTCACTCGATGTATGATGCTA